ATTCGAACCCGCCACCTTAGGTGTACGTGGCTGGCGCCTTAGCCGGTTGAGCTATAGGCGCCGAGCCAAAGTAAAAGATATTTTACTAACTAGTTTATTTCTTAAAGATCTATTTTAAAAGGACTAGGTGTAGATGTTGATGTAGATTTTTCGGGGTGAGATGTTTCCAACTTACATATTACTGACAGTATTAACTCTGCATTTCAAATATTAAAAGCTGTTATAATTAGCTATGGTTACCAACTAGATACATAAGATTGCTTCTCTGGGATAGAGATAGAAAAGAAATAAAGCTGTGGCAGTATAATAACTGTAAGATTAGCTGCTGAACTAAAAGGATTTTTTAAATGGGGAAAAAGTGGTTATAAATCAGCATAACAAAGACCAAGGACACCCAAGAATCTGATTGGTGAAACCTGCAGATGCTGAAAGTTACAGTCAACCTTGAGCACAATGTAGTTCTAGAAGGAGTTGAATCCACTGTAATGAGATTTATAATATGTTTAAATAAATTACTTCTGTAATTGGTGTAAGTGAATTATATAATTAATATCAGGCATTTATTAAGTCATGCCCTGTGCAAGGCATGTGTTTACATCAAGGTGACAGGCACTAATACAGCTGTTTCAAAAAGTGAGTTAATGGCTTGATCCCCTTTTTGAAGAGGAAAAGAGGGTGTGCTGCTTGTCATTAGGCACAAAATGAATTCTAAATTTTTCATACATGTCTCTTCAGATACCAAATGTAATTTTCTGTCTTTGCCCTTCTGTTGGGCAAAGTACTCATTCCCTGGTACCCAACGTTATCTATTCACACCTTTGTAATTGACCACCTAACTACGCCCTACTCTCTATCTGTTGAAAGCCTACCTATTGTTCTTTTTTTTTTTTTTTTAAGTGACAGTTTGAGCGCGTCACCCTCGGTAGAGTGCTATAATGTCACAGCTCACAGCAACCTCCAACTCTTGGGCTCAGGCAATTCTCTTGCCTCAGCCTCCCAAGTAGCTGGGACCACAGGCACCCGCCACAACACCTGGCTATTTTTTGTTGCAGTTTGGCAGAGGCTGGGTTTGAACCCGCCACCCTCGGTGTATGGGGCCAGCACCCTACCCACTGATCCAGAGGCACCGCCCAAGCTTACCTGTTGTTCTAGTCCCCTCACAAACAATAGGGCTTTTCCCTGACCCTCCCCCATGTATTGCTTTGTTTCTTCTCTGTGTCCTCTGTACCCAGCATGTTGCCGTAATTTAGTTTTTGTTTTCCTTGGTGTCTTTTTTTTTTTTGCAGTTTTTTGGCTGGGGCTGGGTTTGAACTTGCCACCTCTGGCATATGGGACTCGAGTCCTAACCATTTGAGCCACAGGTGCTGCCTTTCCTTGGTATCTTTGAAAGAGATCACAGTGCTGGTCAAATTAGATCCTGACTGGGTTCACTTTGCTACACCGAACCTTTGAATTGCCACTCCCAAACCTGACTTTCATGGATTAAATTTATATATTATTAGTCTTTTATAGAAAGCTAATGGCTCCTAGAGCCAAATGGAAAACACAATGTAATGTTTCTTCATGTGCCAAACAGGAGTTTTTGTTGGCTTTTCTTTTTTTTTTTTTTTTTTTGGAAACCTATTCTCTGTTGCCCAGGCTAGAGTGCTGTGGCATCAGCTTACCTCATGGCAACCTCAAACTACTGGGTTCAAGTGATCCTCCTGCCTCAGCCTCAAGAGTAGCTGGGAGTACAGGTGCCTGCCATAATGCCTGGCTAATTTTTCTAGTTTTAATAATAGGGCCTTACTCTTGCTCAAACTGATCTTGAACTCCTAAGCTCTAGGGATCCTCTGGCCTTGGCCTCCTAGAGTGCTAGGATTAGAGGTGTGAGCTACTATGCCTAGCTAAAACTGAGCTTTTAAAGCCAGAGTTTCATGCCTTTTAGCTGATAGTTTATTTTTTTATTTCGTATAGACACAGTTCATATCTCTGGTGTTTTCCTCCGAATTTAAGAATTGGTGCTTGTGGGCGGTGACTGTGGCTCAGTGGGTGGGGTATTGGCCCCATATACTGAGGGTGGTGGGTTCAAGCCCAGCCCTGGCCAAGCTGCAACAAAAAATGGCTGGGTGTTGTGGCAGGTGCCTGTAGTCCTGGCAGCTGGGGAGGATGAGGCAGGAGAATCGCCTGGGCCCAGGAGTTGGAGGTTGCTGTGAGCTGTGATGCCATAGCACTCAACCGAGGGCAATAAAGTGAGACTCTGTCTCTTTAAAAAAAAAAAAAATAGTGCTTGAATTATTCTAGTATGATGATTTTTGTTGGAATGCTTTATGATTTTTAATTTTATATTTTCATTCACGTAAGAGGATTAAAACTCAGTGTCAGTGCTGGGAACAATGGGTGACAGATGTACTTTCTCCTTTCTCCATGGAGGAGACAACACTCAATAGTAGCCCAGGCAGCATTAATGAAGACCTCCCCCCCATCTCTACGAAAAAATAGAAAAATTAGCCAGGTGTGGTGGTGTGCACTAGTAGTCCAGCTGCTTAGGATAGCTTGAGGACCTGGAGTTTGAAGCTGCAGTGAGCTGTGATGGTGCCACTCCAGGAGCGTAGGGGACAAAGACCATGTCTCAAAAAAAAAAAAAGCTCCAAAACAAAACACAAACACTTATAAGATTAATAAATGTTGTGAAGGAAATAAACTTAGCCTGAAAGAATGTAGCAGATGAAACTACCTGAGGATAGTATGTATGGTCAGAAAACATAAGCCTAGGGTAGGTAAAAAACCAGCCTGGAGGTTTGAGCTGAGATTAAGGAAAGAGCCTTAGGGAAAGGCTTGTACCAGAGATGAGAAAGACCATTTGGGGAAGTGCTATTCCTAAAAGAGAAAGGGGGTCATAAGAGTTTAGGAGACTACAGTCATAGTAAATAATTGGATCTTATTTAAAATGCTGTGGGCTCCTTGGCAGGGAAATAACCTGGGGCTGTTGATAATCCAGGTGCAAAATCATGGTAACTGATATTAACACTGGAGCTGTGACTTGGAGATGAAATTGATGTTGCTGGTGGGTGGAGGGTGGAAAAGGAAGGGGAAAAAATAAGGATGATTGTCGGATTTGTAACTGTGTCCTGAGGGTTTACCTTATTAATTGCTTTTTGTATGCCTATTATATTCCTGTGGTTGATTTTATTTTTTTAATTATTTTTATTTATTTATTTATTTGCAGTTTTTGGCCAGGGTTGGGTTTGAACCTGCCACCCCGGGTATATGGGACCAGTGCCCTACTCCTTGAGCCACAGGTGCTACACCTGGTGGTTGATTTTAAATATAACTCACATACAGCATTTTGCTGGGTAGTTTTAATTTTGAAAGATGCAAAGGATTCTCTTTCTGCACAGGGGTGTGATTTTTTTTTTTTTTTTTTTTTTTTAGAGACAGAGTCTCACTTTATTGTCCTCGGTTGAGTGCTATGGCATCACAGCTCACAGCAACCTCCAGCTCTTGGGCTTAGGCAATTCTCTTGCCTCAGCTTCCCCAGTAGCTGGGACTACAGGCACTCGCCACAACACCCGGCTACTTTTTGGGGGCTGGGTTTGAACCCACCACCCTCGGTATAGGGGCCTCTGTCTCTAAAAAAAAAAAGAAAAACTGAGGGAAGTTGACAAAAAATGGTTTTTACTCAGTAGACGTTGCACATTGGACCTGGTAATATGGAACTTCAAATCCAACAGTCCCCATCATGCACCTAAGGAGTTTACTGATTACTGGGATTGTTGGTTTTTTGTTTCTTGAGACAGAGCTTCAAGTTGTCGCCCTGGGTAGAGTAC